AAAAATAGCAACCAGCTGGGATGGCTCAGGGGTTGAGTATTCACCTATGAACCAGGAGGTCATGGTTTGATTCCAGGTCAGGGCATGTGCCGGATTGCAGGCTCGGTCCACAATGTGGGGTGTAATGGAGGCAGCAGATCAATTATTGATGTTTCTATTTCTCTTTCCCTCTCCCTTCCTCTCTGAAATCAATAAAAATATATATTTTTTAAAAATAGTAACAACACATTTTTACAATAGCAGGCAAATCTCAAAGACTGATTGTATGACCTCAGTTCAAAGTAATGATGATTAATAAAATATAAGAAAAACTTGTAGCATCTACAAAAGCCTAGTTGTGGGTGCCAAGCATGCCAGTCACCATGGTACATGTCAACTGTATTCTAATAATTACTTCCTCCTTGCTATACCTTAGCCACTAACACAAAATCCTGATCTTTTATTGACATGAGAGTTGGTACAGGCATAAAGTAGAAAATTATAACAGCATCATAATTAATTACAATAAGCCAGAGAGGTTTGTAATTACCAAGTGTTGTAAGATGAGCTGTGTCCCGCCAGAATTCGCCTATTGAAGTCCTAACATTCAGAATATGACTATTCTTGGAGATAGTGTCTCTAAAGAGGTAAGTTAAAATAAATCATCAGGTCGGGCCCTAATTCAAAAGAACTGGTATCCTTATAAGAAGAGGACATTAGGACCCAGAAGGAAAACCACATGAAGACAGAGGGAGGGAGACAGCATCTAGAAGCAAAGGAGAGAGGCCTCAGAAGAAGTCAAACTTGCATACCTTCTTCTCAAACATCTAGCTTCCAGAATGGTGAGAAGATAAATACCTGTTGTCTGAGCTACCCAGTCTATGTGGTACTTTGTCACAGCAGCCCTAGCACAGTAAGAAACCAAGTACTACCTTTTTACTTCTTCATTCAATAAATCTAATTTATACTCAAAACATTCATGGATGGTAATATTTTCACATTTTTATAGACAGGAAAACCGACATTCCAGAGATGTTAAATGATGTCTCTGAGATCGTCCAGTGGTTGAACACCAGGAGGCAGGACTAAACTAGAGTATCTGTCCCCAGTCCTGCTGGCCTTCCACTCTCAGCAGGTGACAGATGACAGGACATCTGGATGTGGTCCCAGCAGTGCCCTAAGCTCGTGAGACTTTGAGTGTCATCAATTTCTTAACTTCTTTGTTTCTTTCATCTGCAAAATGATGGAGTTGAATTAAATATGCTAAGATCTGTATAAATGCCTTCCCTATTTTAAGCATGTAGCTCAGGTCATTGTTTCCAAACTCCTAAAGAAATTGGCTCTGTAAACTCTCTTAGAATCAAAGGAAGAGTCAATATTTTGGAAATCACTATTTTGCCCACAGAAATGATCTCTCTCAAAAAGATATAGATACTTACAAATGTTCTGAAATATTATGAGCTTAACTCATCTTTAAAAAGTAAATTTTAAAAGGCTTGCATCCTATTAATTTCTGTTTTTAAAGATTTCTGCAATCTGAGCTTTTAAGAATTGCTTCATGAACAAAACAGTATACTGTTTTTGTTTGTTTTTATTTTTTTTACAGAAAATCTGAATTCAGGCTTAAGATCTTTAGTGAACAATTGCATAATCTTGATTGGGAAAGGGGGAGTAGTTGCAGACCTCAGTTTCTAAATCTGAGAAATGGTGTAAAGAGCTTTGGCATGCCTGGAGGGAAAATTTGCCATTAAGTGAGAATATCTGAGAAATACCTTTGTACTCTTTGGAGGGAAGTTGCTGCAAGGTAATTCATAAAAACTCACAGTGTTAGGGCCTTTTTTTTTTTTCAATAATCTCCTCAGTTTTGAAATATTGTGTGAGTGCCTGATCTGCATACTGCTCATACCTATGGTGAATGCATATCTTGTTTGCCAGGAAGAGGGGAGGATACCTTGGGAAGTAATGTGTCCCATCATGGAGCATAGCAGGTTATATGACTGGGGGGGTTAGAATTGCGAATCATCTCTTATGTGCTTTTTTTTTTTTTTAAACTATGATAAGTAAAGGCAGTTTGCCCAAAGGGGAGGGGAAAACAGCTACAAACCACACACTCCATATCCAATCACCAAGAGACAAATCAGCCTTCAGGCGAATCAAATGTCTTCATGTAAAGCTTACCTGGACTTGGCACTCTGCCCATCTTTTCCAAAATCTCTGAACAACATGCTTTTTCACAATTAAAAAACATGCACACTGAAACAGTATGCCATTTACAACATGGTTTTTTTAAGAAAAGGAACTGTTTGGCCTAGGAAAGGCATTTGCTTGGGAAAAGGAAAGTTCCTTTCTGGGTTTGCAGCATGTAAATCAGAGGTCAGTGGGTGGGGCCGAAGTGCTCTCTGGAGCATAAATAAAGGCTGAGCTGAGCTGGCACAGGAGGAAGCTTGGACGCATCAAGGCCCCCTGGTTTGCACAGACAGGTGGGTGGGGAAAGCCAGGTAAGGTTCCTGACCATGGAGCATGTTGGAAGGGCACTGGGTTCTGGCCTTTGGTGACTGTGTGGAAGAGAGTTTCAAGGGCAGTGAAATGGGGTTTGGAGAGGGGATAAATGAACTTTTCACCAAAGGTTTCCTGGGGCCTTTCTTTGGCCTGAGTTGGCAGTGTGCTCCCTTCCTGAGCCGGTTCAAGGTAATGCTTTCTCCCTTAGGAGGCAGGAGGTTGGAGTGGATGAACTCTAGGTGTTTCCAAGCGTGGGACAGGGCCCTGGGTCCTCTGTCACTGTGCCCTGGTCACTGTTTATGCTCTGCTTGCCTCTCACTGCCTAAAGCTAAGGCCTGCAGCCCCAGGAAACCTCTGCTCAGATTGCCCACTGGCAATTTTGCAACTTAGAATATTACTGAAAAGCAGAAAAAAGTGCTTTTTCTGTCTGAAATAGAGATTCTTGTTGCATCTTCAATCTTTAAATTCATGGGATAAACTATAAGAGAAATTGGAGTGCTTTCTTAAAGCATTTATGAATAGGGACACTGAAACCTCCTGTAGGTGAGAGAGAGAGAGAGAGAGAGAGAGAGAGAGAGAGAGAGAGAGAGAGAGAGAGAGAGAGAGAGGCCAAATGGTCAATGTGTCTCAGTTAGCATTCTTGTTTTGAGGTGGTTTATGCAGGAAGTTTGCAGAGTCTATTCATATTAGGAAAAGTCGATAGAGTGAATCTCAGCAGGATGTTTGAACAGCAGGAGTTACATTCGACAAAATTCTGTCATCTTGCCATAAAACACGGGTAAGATAGCAACAGTTTCAACCTGTAAGCGGCGGAGCTATTCCAAGGGCTCCTAATAGCTACTTGTACGATAAGAACTGCAAGTGGACTACATAGGTAAAATGCTTCACCACCAGTTTATGATTTTTCAAATATACACAGATGCCGTCGCTCTTAATAAAACAGGAAATCCAATGAATGTTGATAAACTCAAAGTAGTTATTTGTCATGGTGTTTCTAAATTAATTAATACTCAAAAAGTACAAGTATTCTCACAGAAAAGTTCCTGGATTTTTTTTAAACACACGTCTTTGTACAAAGAGGGCTGGGGATGTTGACTTACAGTACACTTGAGTTGCTTCTGCAGACGAGTAGGATACAAAATTTGTTATTGGCTTTTCCAGTGTAGAAAGTAAAGAAAATGCACCCTTGCTTTTTATGTCTTTTTGAGTAAGACATTTTGTGGACACATACTACTATTTGTATAAAATGGGCCAGTTTAATATAAGATATCCTCTGGATGTGATGATTTAGCAACACTTTTTTTTTTTTTCCAATCAGCAAAGATTCTGACTCAAGCTATCAGAACATGAAAAACATTCCTCTTAAAAATACTAAGCATTGAAGGTCCATCCTGCTTCCTTTGCAGTTTATTTAATTTTAAACCTCCACCAATATTAGAGTTTCAGGTGGGAAAATGGGAACCAGTGCTGCAAAAGGGCAAGGTTCAGGAGCCTTGGTTCACACCCATCTCATAAATCTTCATCTCTCTGAATGTCAGAGTCTTCTGTAAATGAGGCAGTGGGGAGGTGGGAAAAGAGGAGGTAATCAATAAGGTATCTTCTTGTACTAAATGTTTTAAATATAAAATTTAAGTGTCAGTTCCTTTAGCTATAAGAGTATATACATCTACTTATTTCTTAAAGTATATCTATATCTATATTGTAGATACCTATGGAGATCTATATCAGCATACTCTATATCATTTATACTAGAGGCAGTATATTTATACAGTACATGAATTTGTGCACTGGTGGGGTCCCTCGGCCTGGTCAGTGATCAGGGCCTATTGGAGCCATCTCACCAGTCCTGGTCAGGGCCCTGGGGGCTGGCCAGTCAGGAAAGGACCATGAGGTGGAGGAGGGGGGAGAAGAGAAGGGGAGGGGGAGCTCCAGGGCATATCCAGCCCTCTTGCCCAGTCCCCATTGGCAGGACCCCAGTAGCAAGCTAACCTACCAGACAAAGCATCTGCCCCCTGGTGGTCAATGTGCATCATAGCAACTAGTCAAGCAGTTGACTGAGTATTTAGCATATTATACTTTTATTATATAGAATCTGTATGGAGACAGAAAGATTAGATAGATAGATAGATAGATAGATAGATAGATAGATGCAGTCTGAAGATAGATAGATAGATAGATAGATAGATAGATAGATAGATAGATAGATAGATAGATAGATGCAGTCTGAAGATAGATAGATAGATAGATAGATAGATAGATAGATAGATAGATAGATAGATAGATAGATAGATAGATAGATGCAGTCTGAAGATAGATAGATAGATAGATAGATAGATAGATAGATAGATAGATAGATAGATAGATAGATAGATGATAGATAGATGCAGTCTGAAGATAGATAGATAGATAGATAGATAGATAGATAGATAGATAGATAGATGGATGCAGTCTGAAGATTTTGAAGACTGCTAATTCCCTTTGGTCTTACTGACTTTTTACTTGTTTTCATTATCAGGTTTGCCATGGAGAAGATTTCAGTGTCAACATTCTTGCTCCTTGTGGCCCTCTCCTACACCCTGGCCAAAGACACCACAGTCAAACCAGGAGCTAAGAAGGACACCAAGGACACAAAGGTTCCTCCACCCAAACTGCCCCAGACCCTCTCCAGAGGTAGGAGTCGGCGTCTCGTCAGCTTCCAATGTTGCCTAATTGGGAAGCTGAGACCTGTGTGCTGATCATATTGTTTTTGTTTGTGTTCCTTCTAGATTTATCAAATTTTATAGTTATTTCTACTTTCTCTAGAGGTGTTTCTTCTTTGTTTCAAATATCATTGCTTTTCAACAGTTTTGGGTCTCAAATTATAATCGCTTTAAATATGCTGACTCATGCTGGAACCGGTTTGGCTCAGTGGTAGAGCATCAGTCTGCGGACTGAAAGGTTCCGGGTTCGATTCTGGTCAGAGGCATGTACATTGGTTGTGGGCACATCCCTGGTAGGGGGTGTGCAAGAGGCAGCTGTCGATGTTTCTCTCTCATCGGTGTTTTTTTTTTTTTTTTAGCTCCCTGTCTCTCTCCCTTCCTCTCTGTAAAAAAATTAATAAAAAATATTTTTTTTAATAAAATAAAAAAATAAGTATGCTGGCTCACTTTGTCCTAGGCTGGGGTGATCAGCTCATCTGGACTCAGACATATGAGGAAGCTTTGTACAAATCCAAGACAAGGTAAGGATGAGGGTAACGCAGCTCTCTCAAAGCTCTCAAGAGCACCATCTAGTGAGATTTAACTGCACGTGAAATCCTACTCAGTAAAAATGATCCAATCTGGCTTTTCTTTTAAAGCAACAAACCCTTGATGATTATTCATCACCTGGATGAATGCCCACACAGTCAAGGTAATTTATTCTTCTACATATAATTTTCTTTATAGGCTTTTAGCTGTAGGGCCAAGGTAGGATCGCTTGTCTTGTTTTCCTTAGCATCTAGCACAGTTGAATTCTAAATGATATTTCATGTAGCAAAAACATATTTAAGGTAACTTCAAATATTTCCGCGTTTTATGTTAACCATTGCTGCATAGTATGAAAAAACAAGATCTAAGACTCATCCTTGACATTTTTTTCTTTTATCCCATGTTCAATACCATTGGCTGTGCCTCCAAAATATACCTCAAACCCAGTGTGGGCTCCATGGACATGCAACCTGTGTACCCACGTAGGGCCCAGTGCTTAAAAGTTCCCATGCTTGGTTTAACATTCTGTAGTCATTGTCTGAGAATTCTTAATAACTTTTGAACAAGGGGCTCATGCTTTTATTTTGCATTGGGCACCATATATTATGTGGGTCCTGCCCAACTCCAACCACTTCCTGTTGTCTCACTGTTACCGTCATGATCCAAACCAAGAGCTAGATACCATAACAGCCACCTACCTGGCTACCCGATAGTCAGTTCCCCATACAGAAGCCCAAATAAATCTGTTAAACATAAGTCAGATCCTATCACTCATGTGTTCAAGTGGCTTCTACTCACATGTAAAATTAAACTCAGATTCTTGACCCTGGGCTACAAGGCAATACACAATCCAGCCTCTGGCTCCTTCCTTTCTTACTGCTCTCCTCTTGTTTTCTCTCCATCTAGCCTGGCCTTTGTGCTTTGCCTCAAACATCTGAGTTCATTTTTGCCGCAGGACTATTGCTCTTAGAGTTCCCTCCACTTAGTATGACATACCTCCAAAATCTTAGAGTGGGTCACTTCTCTCACCTCAATGTCAGTCCCTCAGGAAGATCTATCCTGGCCACTTTATAGCACTTAAACCTCTTACTTTGCTTCACCTGAAATTATTAGATATCTCCACCTGAAATTATTAGATATTTATTTGTTTGCTTATTTATGATGTCTCCTACACAGGCATTTGAGCCCCATGAAGAAAGCACATTACTTTTTTTTTTTTTCACTGCTCTATTTCCAGGGCATTAAACAGTGCCTACCATTTAGTAGCCACTCAATAAATATAGGCTGGAAAAAAATGGATGGATGGATGGATGGATGGATGGATGGATGGATGGCAAGAAATAGAGGCAGTCAATAGCCTAAATATTGCTACACTAATTATTTGCTGAAAGGGCAAAGTAAAACACTGCACTAAAAATTACAGTTCAACTTAAAATATAACAGAGAGTAATGGTGCTGAGATGAATGCTTAATGATTTTTCTTTATATTATAGCTTTAAAGAAAGTGTTTGCTGAAAATAAAGAAATTCAGAAATTGGCAGAGCAGTTCGTCCTCATCAATCTAGTCGTAAGTTTCCTTCTCACCATCACTGACATTTCTCATTATTCAAAATGGATGATTCATTTCTCCTGTACATTATAGTCATGTTTGGGATGAAGTAGGATATGTCCCAAATACTCATCTAAGACTGGAAAGCAAAATGATACTTTAGTAATAATCCACCTTTCGTGTTAATGTTTTCATTTGGTAATTAATAACTTTAGGTTGTCTGAAAAGTATACTCCTGTGATTAGGATTTTCTCTGTTGCTGTAATAATTGGAAGGTTTTTGTATTTTCAGATTACCTCCTGTGTCCCTTCCTGCAGTTCTGGCTGCTCCACACCATTCTCAATCATTGTCTCCTCTCTCCCTCAAAGAGAGAGCTCTCTGGTTGTCCAAACTAAGCTTCCTGCATTCTCACTGACTTCACCTTCACCACCCTTCCTGGTGTCCAAACTTTCCTGCCTTACTCTATCATAATCCTCACCTGGAGTCAGAGTCTCTCTCTCTCTCTTTCTCTCTCTCTCTCTCTCTCTCTCTCTCTCTCTCTCTCTCTCTCATGCTCTTCATATATTAACAGGTTGGCTTCTTCAAAGAGTATCCACACCAGTAGTCCTTCCTCAACTCCCTGCCACAGGCTCCTCTTCCTCCCCCTAAATATTAAGTGCTTTGGTGAATCTCTAATTCATCTACTTTTATTTTCATATTTTATATTCTCTATGTGTAACATCATCTATACGTGTCTTTAATCAATGTTCACACACTGATGATGCCCACAAATATGCCACAACTTCCAACTGGTATATACACTATGTTTCGGGCATCCCATAATTAGCTTAAACTCAATGTGTTCCCCCCTGCATTTCTCAGTTTGGGCCAGGCTTCCAAATTGCTCCTCTTTCTCTAGTTCCTATTTTATCAGAAGTGTTATTCCAGACGGAAGTCTCCTACTCACCTGTGGCAGTCAAGACTGTGGCTCATTCATATATATTCACTTGCCTAAAGGAAATTTTTCCCTGAATGTTCAATGAGTATCTGATATTAAATATTTCCCACAGTGAACTCTTTTTTAAAAAAATAAAATATATGTCTATTGATTTCAGAGAGGAAGGGAGAGGGCAAGAGAGAGAGAGAGAGAGCAATATCAATGATGAGAGATAATCATTGATCAGCTGCCTCCTGCAAGTCCCACACTGGGATCGATCCCACAACCTAGGCATGTTCCCTGACCAGGAATCGAATCCTTGACCTTCTAGTTCACAGGTCGATGCTCAACCACTGAGCCACGTTGGCTGGACAAGACCTGTAATTCTAACTTTTAAATATTTTTGTTATTGGTCACTTTCCTATAAACTGAGAACCACCATTCTAATGTAAGAATTGTTCACTTTGCTTAGCAGTATTATTAAGTGGCTCCCTGTTTATAAGATAATTCCCACCTAATCCCACATACCATTAGGGTGATCCCTTTCAAGACCAAATTGTGATCACAGTACCTCTTCCCACATCCCTCCACCACTTCTTAGCTATTTAGGAACAAATGCAAACACAGTGGCATGGTGCGCAAGAAACTACATGAGCTGGCCCCTGAGGCAGCTCTCAATCTTCTCTCACCAGCACCTGCTGCTTTCCCGCTGGTGTAGTCCCTTCCCAACCTGGTCCTGTCAGAAAGTGCTACACATTTTCTCTTCCCTGCACAATCTCTCCCTCTGCCTGAATGACCTCCTTTTCCATGGGACTGACTGGTTTTCATTTTGAAAGGTTCCTCCTTCCCCACTTCATAAGGTCCGAATAGAACTTGTATACTGGGCTAAATGTCTAGCTCAGGGCACCCCTGGCGTCTGTCTTCCTCCATCGTTAAAATGTCAGACGCTGGGTCCCCAGCATCCATTTTCCAACCTGCATCTCCCAAGAGTGTGATCTGTGAGAGATAAGTAATGTCTATTGCCACAAAAAGACTTATAAATGAAAATTTGATAAATGGGTAGCTGAATCCTCAAGATAATCCTGTGGGGTTTGTTTTTTTTGTTTGTTTGTTTGTTTGTTTTGTTTTGTTTTTTTGGTTTTTTTTCCTGTAATTTCTCAAAAAAAATGACTTCTGGTTTTTTGTTTTCACTAATCCATTTCCTCCTGTCTCATGAAAGATGTCTTCACCAAACACTGTAACTTCCTCCTAATTCTCCCTTCATTTTTGTTCTTTATCACATCCATTCAGCTCTTGACCGCCTCTTCTGTATCACACTCTCCGCTAACTTGTTTGCATGCGTGTACATTATCTCTGCATCTGTTTTATTACTCCTTGTGAGAGAGATGTGCCTTCAGTGTCTTAAGATGCCTAGCCCCGTAACAGACACATTTTTGTATTCAACAGTTTGAAAATAACTAAAGAGTAAACAAATTAAAAAGCTGCTTTTTTTTTCAATCTTAGTATGAAACAACTGACAAGCACCTTTCTCCTGACGGCCAGTATGTCCCCAGGATCATGTTTATTGGTAAGAGACAATGACATGAAAACACACGTGCTTCCATATCTCCCCTTTGTCCTCCCCGATGCTCAGGTGCCACTCCACCGTGGCCCCAGTGAGGTACAGGGGTGGGCAAAAGTAGGTTAGTAATAATAGTAATAAATAATACAAGAGTTAATAAGTAATAATTCAAGAATAAACGGTTTCATGGCCTCTCAGCTGTAAGCCTACTTTTGCCCAGCTCTATACCTCAGGCCTGTAAATACTTATTACTAATCAGGCAAACTTCCAATTTGTGTCTTGGATAGTTCTTTCTGATACTGTTGATAATTATTTGAGGAAAGTTAAGAATGTGAAGTTGTGTGGGTTTTTTGTTTTGTTTTTTTCCTAAAAATCAAAGTTACCATGCTCCTTCCTGCCTCTGGAACATCTTATTATGTATATGCTGCTCCATCTGCCGGAAGCTTGCCTTGCCTCCCCTTCTGCAGCTACCTGTCACCTCCCCAGCCTCGCTGTCTTTCACGGACCTGCCAAAGCCCACGAGCACATGTGCTTGTGGCTCCATGTTTCTTTCAATGGTCGCACTGCCCTCAGTTATAATTTTAAAATTACTGTTATTTGTTAAATATTTCCCTCATGGGACTATACACTCAATGTAGCAGGTACTACAGCTGCTTCTGCTTACCATTACTTTTTCTGCATGGCCCTGTGGTGGGCTCACAAAAAATATTCCTTCGATGACTGAACAAATTAATTGAGCTTGGCTCTGACAAAAATCATACTGATTTAAAGAGAGCCCAAGACAACTGTATGGTGATTGCCAGAGGGAAAGGGGATGGGGAAGGGGAAAGAGGGTAAAGGGATACATGGTAACGGAAGGAGATGACTTGGGGTGGTGAACGCACAATACCGTGTACAGATGATGCGTTACAGAATTATATATCTGAAACCTAGAGAATTTTATTAACCATTGTCACCCCAATAAGTTCAATAAAAAAGAAAAATACAGTTCGAATAAACCCAGCACATAAAAAAGAGCTCACGCTAATCAAGGGGCTCATCTATGTAATTCCCCAAGTTCACACTCAATATACAAAACAGGAGGGGGAAAGCGAAGAAAGGAAGGAGGGAGGCCGAACTAGATTTTTATAGATTTGATTTTGTTAGGATTTAGAACATTTGGAATCCTTGAAACTGAGACTTTATAGGTCATTTGCCTTACCTTGTGTGCAAATCCTGTACACAGCGTTCCCAGCTCAGAGAGTTTTAATTCCCGTTGGTCCCTTGAGTCATGGGAGCCAACTCCAACTCCAAGGCAGCTCGCTCTCAGCTGCTTCCCCACGTGCCTGCACGGGAGCACCACCTGGGCAATCTAAAAGCAAGCGGCCCAGGCCACACCTCCAACCAATTAAACAGAATGCCTGGGCGCCCAACAAAGGCATCCGGATGTTTTTAACTCCGGGCGATTCCATGGTGCAGCCAGAGCTGTGAGCCAATGGCTGAGTATTTAAAAGCCTTTGTGTTAATGTATCACCACGATCAGGTGTTTGTATCCTCTGCAACAAGCAGGTCTTGAGTCTTTGTTGGACCAAAGAATGTCTGCTTTTTGTAAATTACATTGGTCCTAATCTGAATGACAGGGACTGTCCATCCAATATCAGTGACAGACATTGCAAACCTGCAGGTGCTCTGGCGCGTCCTCTTCACCCAGATTTCAGGACATACATCTTAGGCTCCTCAGTCACCTCTATGGGGGTAAGGTTTCTAGGCCTCCGTACCCCCATAACACCTCGCTTTTGGATGTGCCTTGTTTTATTTATTTTTTAAAATATATTTGTATTGATTTCAGAGAGGGAGAGATAAAAACATCAATGATGAGAGAGAATCGTTATCTACCTCTTGCACACCCCATACTGGGGATCATGCCCTGACTGGGAATTAAACCAGCACCTCCTGGTTCATAGGTTGATGCTCAACCACTGAGCCATGCCAGCGGGCTGGATATGTGCCTTATTCTAAAAATACCTTTCTGTTCTCATTGATAAGTTAATATAAAACGGGAAAAAATAATTGAAACAACACATAAGGGATGACTCTTAACTGTATTTTTTTAAATAAGTAAAAAAAATAGAGAGGGGACTACATGCTTATGTGACCTTTGATGCTATTAGGACTCATCTTCTTTTATTCATTAAAAAATATATGTTGGTTTTGAACACCAGCATTAGATGTGAGTTTCTAATGATCCAGGTTGCTCTTAGTAACAACACACTTAAGTTACAACATACGTAATTCTTTCAAAAGCTTTTAACACAATTCCTTGGTAGCGAATGCTATTGTTTTCACCCAAAATGGAAACACCAGCCCAACAATATGTATTATCCTGTTTTCAGGTTGCTATAGATAGCACAGCGGGGTTCATAACCTTTCCCACAAATAGCCACACACAGCTGTTGGTGGCTCCCAGCCCGGCGTGGGGTCCCGCCTGCCCAAGGCTGGCGCAGAGCGGATGAGATAGATCTGCCGGGACACACGTGTACTCCTTTCGGGGGATGTGGACAAATCCATGTGCTTCCTCCCGCAACGGTGCAAGCACAGCTCTCCAGCCCATCACCCCCCTTTGCTTTTCCTTCGTAGACCCATCCCTGACCGTGAGAGCCGACATCACTGGACGATACTCAAATCGTCTCTACGCCTATGAACCTTCGGACACAGCTCTGCGTAAGTGTCACCTCCTTTGACCATCTCAGTGTGGGACTGTGACAAAGGCAGGGAAAGCTGCTCAGGGGCCACGGGGAATCAGTTTGACCAACTAGTCTCATCACTTTAATCTTTTTTCTTCTCATTTTAATCGAAGACGAATAATTGAAATTAGGCAAACTTGCCTCTCTTTTATTGTAATTGAAGATTATTTTTAAAGAAGTGTCTGTTTTTCTCCAGGATTCTATGATGTGTCACCTGCAGTTCAGGTTTTTCTCTTAAGACACACTGACTTATCACAGAATTGAGCACAATAGTTGCAGTAACCTGCATGCGTTGTTAAATACAGCTTTTCCAAATAATGGAAATAAAGAATATTTCATTATTTATTATTATTATTATTAATATTATTATAAAACATTACATTAATAATTATAAATATATTATTTATCCAAAAAATAAAGAAATGATGTAGTCTTTGTTGACACTAAATTCAAGTTCAACTTTATTTATTTTTTTTTAAACGTCTCTTCTTTTCTTTTCTTTTCTTTTTTAATTTTTTTATTTTATTTTATTGATTTTGTACAGAGAGGAGGGGAGAGAGATAGAGAGTTAGAAACATCAGTGAGAGAGAGTCATCGATCAGCTGCCTCTTGCACACCCCCCACTGGGGGGATATGCCCGCAACCAAGGTACATGCCCTTGACCGGAATCGAACCCGGGACCTTTCAGTCCCCAAGCCGACGCTCTATCCATTGAGCCAAACCGGTCCCGGCAAGTTCAACTTTAAAGATCAGTAGAAGGAAAGGGGGCTCCAAATAGTTGCCAAGAGACTCACTTCTGAGAGAAACTCCCAAGGAAGATGAGGTACCTCAATAAGATACTGTACTTGCTTGTGACATCTAATTAACCCTGCTGGGGGGAGAGTTGGGTTTCTCCCTAGAAGCCAATGCTGCTCCATGACCAGTGGCTGCCTAGAACTGCACTGCCCAGCATGTTAGCCTTCAGCCACAGGCAGCTTACAGTTTAACAGCAAACTTAGATTACTTACCATTTAAGACTCAGTTCCTCTGTCACACTGATCACACTTCCAGTACTCAATGCAAAGGCACTGAATATTAGTTTTCATTATCATAGAAAATCTCGTAGGGTGGCACATAAAGATTCTCATTATTTTGGAAAGAAGTTTGAGGCTGTGTCTGGGCAGCAGGAAAATGATCGTGGTCCATTAGCGATGCCTTCAGTGGGTACTAGGAGAACTAGGGGACGTACATTCAAAGTATTCGCCATTCTCAAAGCGATGGCAAATAGCTTAATGAGACTTTGGATTCCTTCAAGGCAGGTATCCTGCACAGGTAAATATCATAGCTCCTTATAGAAAAGGCATTTAATAAATATTGGAGGAGAACTGGATTGCAATAAAAGCCATTTTACATAATTGTAGGAAAAAAAAATTACAGTAAGATTTCCAACATTTTACCCTATGATACAATAGCACCCCATTAAACAATCAATAAAATACCCAAGTTTGGGAGTTTACTACATCTGTTCATATAACTTTTGGTCATGTCTTGACTCTCGTAACGTTTTCTGCCCAATAGTTGTTGACAACATGAAGAAAGCACTCAAGCTGCTGAAGACTGAATTGTAGAGCAAAAAAAATTTGCAAGCTCTTCCCGCTGCGTCTGGCCATGACCTGGAACCAGAGGGGGTTTCAGAAGACCCTGCAGAACGCAAGAGCGAGGTGGACATGCTCCTCAGATTATGGTTTAATGTTACAACAGCTATTTTTTTAAATTTTGTTTCAAGTATACACATATGAAAACAATATTGTGTATTACCATAGCAAGCCATACTTTTTAAAAAAATAAATCCTTTGGGGGTGTGAATCTTTTTTCCCCCCAACTTGGGTCTTTCACACAAAAGCTATTGGGTTCATTCACCAAATAGGACTTTTGGACACACATAAGGTTTGGGAAAGGGGGTGCAGAGACAAGGGGAAAAAAAAGTAGTTCAAGCAATAAAGACCAAAGAGAGTCCAAGTTCTCACCTCAGCTCACTCGTTTTTCACTGGGTGACGAATGTACACATTAGCTTAATCAGCAGCAGTATCAAACAACATGCATTCCTGTGAAAGAACATGTAAAAAGGCATCCCCAAGAAAATCAGGTACCTAAATAGAAGACACTCCCAACTGTAGCCAGAAACTACTATGCACACACTTATTTAATAACTGGATTTTAGTTAGATTTTGCCCAACTCAAGGCTCTCAGAGAGCCTCTGGCAGGTGGCTTTCACCTTCAGGAGATTGATTTTGTGAGAAGGCCATTCAAAGAACATCTGTACCCATGAACACATGCTAACGAAATCCTGAGAACTGGCCTTATGATACAATGAATCTCTCAAGGCCTTCGAGTCCTGACCTTGAACAAGCTCAGTTGAATTGTTCCCATCTTGGTCACCAAAGTGCAACTGCCGAGGAGAAGAGCAAAGGGAAGCGATATCCTGTCTGTGGGGGACAGATCAGAGGTCACTATTTCTCTCTGGAGAAATAGCTGCTTTTAACTCTGTCCTGCCAGGCAAAAATTAGAACCGTGTTAATGTCTTCACTACATATTGAATGCTGCCACATTTATTATTATATGGAATTATCTTATTACCCAGCCCCTCCCCAGATTTCTTCAGCCCCTCAATGACTGTGGTGGTCCGTGCAATGCTTTGCATATTGATTACCTATTGCTTGTCTTGATAGGTCCTTTTCTGAATAGATTCTTTGGCATTATTATTAACTTTTCCAGGGTAGATAATATATTTTAAATACTTTTCTGAGTCACAGTACTCTGACAGAGCTATTCACTAATAAGTTCTGAGCACATATTGTTGATTTAATGGCATACAAATCCTCAGCAAATATGTCAACAGAGGGATTGGGCTCCCTTCACATAAGCAGGTAACCTACATGTGCAAAAGAGGTAAAATATTCCATGTAGAAAGTTCTCTGAGGGTTAATGAGAAGGAAAAAAAAAGTTTTCGCCCTATAAACAAATATTTAAATGACAACTTCTGAGTTATTCAGGCTTCATCTGTAGTGAAGCAAAATAATGTTTACTTATTGAGCTGATGCTAAATAAGAGTAAGTCCTTAAAATGTATTGAATGACAAAATGCTATTTTAACATCACACATAATTTAAAAAATATAAGTCTTTGGGAAGTCAAATGTCAAGGTTGCGAGAAAAAAAAGTTGAATCTCCCTTAGAAAAGTATTAAACACAGAGCAATAGTCATTGAAAAAAAACAAAACTAACTTTAACCCCATCTCCTCAACTTCTGAGAATTTGTCCTAAGAGAATAAATCACTCAAGAGAAATAGAGTTGTGAAGATGCCAACTGCAACACTATTTAAACATATCCTCCCCAAAAGGCAGATATAATGATTACATCCTTATTAACACATAGAGCAGTGTGTTGTCATCTATAAAAGTAATAAACATTATGGAGAAACAAAAGGGTAAGTGAGAAAGAATTTTAAGAGTTTTTATGGTTTATGCAACTATAGAAAATGTGTGTATCACAAGTTAGGAAGAGAAGTGAAGATGCAAACATCAAAACTGTTGTTTTAAGCTCATGGAAATATTAGCAAGGTCTAGCAACCAAACCCTTTATAGGCACAATCTTTCCTTTGTGTTTAAATACATTTAAATGAAAGAATGCCTACAAAGAACGCTATAAGAGGAGAGAGTATTATTTCAAACAGCTGGCTAAAAATGTTGGCATCACAGTGAGAATGTAAAATGGTGTAGCCCAGTGGTCAGCAAACTCATTAGTCAACATTAGAAACTCATGAGTCAAATATCAACAGTACAACAATTGAAATTTCTTTTGAGAGCCAAATTTTTTAAACTTTAAACTTCTTCTAATGCCACTTCTTCAAAATAGACTCGCCGCCGAAACCTGTATGGCTCAGTGGATACAGCGTCGGCCTGTGGACTGAAAGGTCCCGAGTTCAATTCCGGTCAAGGGCATGTATCTTGGTTGCAGGCACATCCCCGGTAGGGGGTGTGCAGGAGGCAGCTGATTGATGTTTCTCTCGCATCGATGTTTCTAACTCGCTACCCCTCTCCCTTCCTCTGTAAAAAAATCAATAAAATATATTAAAAAAAAAAAAAAAAAAAGGATAGACTTGCCCAGGCCCAGGCCGTGGTGTTTTGTGGAAGAGCCACACTCAAGGGGCCAAAGAACTGCATGCGGCTCATGAGCTGCAGTTTGCCGACCACGGGTGTAGCCAATATAGAAAAAACTATGACTGTCCCTCAAAGCTTACATATAGTATAACCATACATTTCAGTAATTCCAATTCTGAGAATGTCCCCAAAGCAAACTGAAAACAAGGAAAAGGTATGTGTATCCTCACAGCCACAGCAGCATTATTCACAATAGCCAGGAGGGGGAAGCACCCCACACAGCCACCAGCAGGCGAATGGCTAAATAAAACGTGCTGCATACATACCGTGGAGTATTCCTTTACTTTACAGGGGAGGAAATTCTGACATATGTTACAACATGGATGAACTTTGAGGACATTATGGTAAGTAAACCGGCCATAAAGGGACAAATACTATATGATTCCACTTATATGAGGTATGTACTGTAGCCAAATTCATAGACAACAGACTGATACTGCTGGGTCTGCAGGGAGTTGCTATTGAACAGGTGCAGATTTTGAAAATGAAAAAGGTCTGGAATTGGACGGTGGTGGTGGCTGTGGAACAGCGGGAATGTACTTAATGACACTGAATTATACACTTAAAAATGATTACAATGACAGGTTGTGTTATATATGTTTTAACACATTAAAAACTTTTTTTTTTACCAGATTTATCTGAGGCCCCACAACTTATAGAAAAATTGGTTTAACGTAAATCTTCTGTAAAAGTCATTTACATGGATGATCAACATGTTTGGTTAAAGCTTTTTTGCCTGTTTTAGAGCCATAGTCATCTTCAAATGATTGTTTAGGATCGTCTAGCTCTGTTTTGTGTGTGTGTGTGTGTGTGTGTGTGTGTGTGTGTGTGTGTGTGTGTGTTTTCCTGTTTTATGCATTCAGTAATCCTAAATAAATACTGGGGTCCTTATATTTAGCAACCACTGGTGAGAATGGGAGCTAGGGGAAGAACAGAAAAAGCTCAAAGGCAAAAACACCTCTTTCTTCAGTGTCTTCCCAGTGAGGTGGACTTCAAACTCCAAGTCAAGGCATCCTAACTTATTCAAAGGCCACTTGTCATGATGTGGCCTCCACTATCTGTAAAAAGCAAGATCTGAAAGTTAGCAAAAGTGTTTTCGCCCTCCAAGTGATATCCAAGTCCATTCTTTGACACACATTTTTAATTCAAAGGCAACTCCTTTAGGCCCTCATTTGAAAATAAATTTCAGAAGCTGGCTTTCCTGAGGGGAGAAGTTGAGAGACAGCCAGGCCTGGGGTCTGATTTTCCCTTTTCCTCTGTCTCAAGAGGTGTTTCTATGAGAATAATTGCCAGGGTACCAGAAACACTTCAATATGAAGAGCTCTGCCTCTCTCTCTCTCTCTCTCTCTCTCTCTCTCTCTCTCTCTCTCTCTCTCTCCCTTCCCCCCCTTCCCAGTGCAGTTATCTATTTGGAAAATATTCCCCAACAACACATCTTGCCATTGCATTTGGCATAGAGACCCAAATATACCAAGTGCAGAACAACTTTACACAAATCCCCTACTTACCCAAAACTGAGGAAGCTTGACCTCTAACCTAACCTTCCTGTCATCTCTAATAAAACAATGGGCATTCGAGTGATCATATTTGTACGATCGCAATGCCTGAAACTGTTTCCCTCCTGTGAAATATTATGCAAAAATGTGATTCTAACTTTTCCATACCAGCTAAAATGCAAAGTAGTTTCATATATTTACTCAGTGCACTTTCAAAAGGGTGAATAAACTTTCACAGGGTTCAACAAATATTTATGAAAATCGCAGAAGGCGGTTTTTGGCCTGAGAATGTGAAAAACTAAGCCACACTGGCTTCTTCTCTCTCTCTGAAGGGCTCCATTCAGCAGCATATTACTGAGGTTCACCACGCAGACCTGGCCTTCATGCCAAACTCATGGCTGCTTAGAAAACAGAGTATCTGGGATGAATTTATGTCACGTGAGCTCAGATTTTAGAAATTATAGCTTAACATTTTTCCTTCCTACTAGCATTATATTATCTAATTAAAACCTCACCTGTAACTTCAAGGCTGACTGGGCACATGTTCTAAGAAATATCCTCTAAATGGAATATGTGAATAAGGCATAAAGAGAAATGTATAAAAGTATTATAGTTTCTTTTTATAAATAAGTCTATAGTTTACAGCCCTAAAGATGAATACTTCCCAGACTCTGACTTGTAGATAGGTTGACCCAAATAAAGGCCATTGAAATTAGAGCATCACCAAGGCTATGGGTTTTTGTTTTTGTTTTTCTCTCTGAAATAGCCTTTTCCACATATAGTCATTTATACCAAGAAAATTAATATGTGAGAAGATTCCAGAAACTCAAGTGAGGTTCAAAATGTCACAAGGATAACCGGGAAACACAGCAAAGATGTGGTTCAAAAGTTTCACTTCCTTCATGTGTTACTTACAATCTCATCTGATGGTGTCAGAGGGAACTAGGTTAGGTGGCCCGTGCTTAATATGACATTGAAGGGCAACAGAACATGCTACCCCCAGAGGCCTCTTAGGCATAAAGATCATTTTGAGCTGATTAGGTCTGAGAAACAGCAAACACCAGAGAAGCTCTGAAAAGTGAGGGGTTTATCCTTCCGTAAGGGACATTTACGTTCACAGTGGAAATCTCTTTCAGTGGGGCGTCCCTTCTCTGTACCAGGAAGGATGACTCTAAATTACAAGAAACTCTTATCAATGCAGAAGTGGCTGACGCAGTTCTGCATAACAAACGCCACCTGTCCTTTGTTTACTGTGCTGCTCCTGGTAGCCCCCATGACTGGCTTACACACAGACACACAAAGACACACACACACACACACACACACACACACACACACATGCACGTGTGCACACAACGCGCACACACACACACACACACACTCACACACCTTTCTTTTGCCTTTAACTAAAGATGGTATTTAAGATGGTGGCCTGAGCCATCTCAGGGAGTTACAGTCTTTCTGGGTATCCCTTATGTATACATGAGGTATACAATGTGAATACACTTCTGCTTTCCTCTTGTTAATCTGTCTTTTATTACATGGGTTCTCAGATAAGAGCTCAGAAAGGTACAGGGCAATTATTTTCCTCCCATGCATTATGGGAATTGCATGACTTGGTTTTCTTGAAAGATGAGCCAGCCTTCGATCCTGGAAGTGATACAGACACACTCTACTCTAAAATTCTACAGATCAACCATTTACCCTCTTTCTTGGTCTAAAACCCATCAAGACAATTACCAATAAAATACCAAACATAGAATGCAAGAAATGAGTCATTTTCAGTAACAGGAGAGAACCTACATATTTTCCCTTTAAAAAAAAAAAACAATCCTCACCATGGAGAAGATATTAAACACTGAAACATTTAAAGGAAGGATTTGGAGATGACTACAGTAAATATCAGCACTAGAAGTTAATTTCCATGGCTGGATAATGCACTAAAATGGCAATACTTCCAAATCAAAGAGAACCCAACGTAAAATGTAAAAAAAAAAAAAAAAAAAAAAAAAAAAAAACACATTTTACTTGATTCACGTGTTCAATTCTTCCATTACTCTCTTTTTCTTTTCTTTTTCTTTTTTTGTGTTTAGCCATTTCATGTAGAAGGAGGACACACACAAACCCTTCCCCTTCAGATCACGGCAACGCTGACCTATCCCACAAGCATAGCCACATTACTTTCTTTTAATTCAAGCACTTACACACGAAGAAAGGTTACTTTCCTTTAATTTTTTAACATAATATACAGAACCCACAATACTATTTCAATTTCAAATTATGGGAGGTCACATTGAAATATGCTTGGGTTTGACAAGCTGCTGTTACCATACTGAAAAATTTCATGAAAAATTTATTTAACAATTTGTAGATAATCAAATATCTTTTCGCTACGGTGGGCCGAAGCATTAACAGTAACTTGTTTAAAAATGCAGTCTTTTGGACTTCAATTACTATAAAAGAATATCAAGATTATACAGATATACCTTCTGAATTTCTCAAACGCATTCCATTTTGGAGGCTGAAGGCAAATGTTACACATTAGAGCATTCATGAGACCATTTCTCCTTCACACTTACCGGTAAAACTCAAAAACTAAACCAAGCTTTCCTAAAGACATAGCTACTTCTAGAATACATTAGTGTAATCATATCACTAGAACTACATTATCACTTTTATGTTAATTTTCACCACAAAACATACTTTCTAAAAACACAAAAAATTTGGGTATTTTATTTCCCATTCTGAACTTAACATATAGAATCATACTTACTGGCTTTAATAAACTTGAACTCTTTTTTTTTCCCAATAGGAACTATCTACACAGCACAGTGCTACATACAATGAGCTACTCCAGTCAGACGTATATTGAGAATCACAATATGATTAACACAGTAGTGCCATACAAAGTATTTCTGCAGATAAAAAAAGCTAAGAAAGGCCACAGTGGACAGTGCCAGACACTGTGAATACAGTAGATTACAGGTACCACTGAGGTTCAGAGGAGACCACAAGTGTCTTTTTGTTTTTCAGCAATGGAAACGGAAAAAACATTCAGAGACAGAAGAGTAAAAATATACAAATCCACTGTCAATAATGAAATTTGTCAGATACTGTTTCCTTAAACAGGCAAATTAACGAAACTTAAAGTTAGCTGTGAACAAGACCAGAATGTGAAAAGTTTTCCTGGCTTTCTCATCAAAGGAATGCACTAGGGTTAGCACGAGGATCTTTCTGGTTCCTGTATCTGTAGGTCAGCCAAACTCCCAGAATCTGGAATAGAAGGGGGGGAGGAGGGTAGAGAAAGAGTAACAGTTGTTGTGTATATTTATTCAAAAACCTCTAAAGCACTTAGTATTATTTGTTCAAAATAGAAGATTCCTCCCCACCCCCCAGTCCCCTCCAAAAAAAGAAATGTAGTCAGTAATCCAAAAGAGAGGCCCTAAGGAAGAGTAATATAAACACTGTGGTAGGCGGATGTGGCCCTCCAAGGATGTCCAGATCATAATTCCCAGAACCTGCAAATGTCACCTTAAGTAGTAACATGGACTCTACAGAAGTGACTGAGTTAACGATCTTGAGATTGGGAGATTATCTGGGTGGGCTCAGTGATGTAACCACAAGGCCCCTTATTAGAGAGAGACAGGAAGGATAAAATCAGAGCTACAGAGAAAAGGCGATGTGATGACATCTCGGAAGCAGCTGTACGCAGAGTCAGGGAGGGAAGATGCTACCCTACTGGCTCTGAGGATCGAGCAAAGGGCCAGGAGCCAAGGAGTGTAGGCCACCCTCAGACGCTGGAAAAGGCAAAGGAGCAGGATCGCCCCTAGAGCCTCCAGAAGTCTCCATTGTAAGCTTTTGACCTCCGGGAGTGTAAGATAATAAATGTGTGCTGCTTTAAGCTACGACTTCTGTGTTTATCAGTGAAAGCAGCAATAAAAAGCTTACACAAACATTAACTTCTCTGAATAGCTAAAATATCAAAGATTTGGATAATTCAGAAACAAACTGGGCTCAGCAACAATTAAACAATAACAAAAAAACTATATAATATATAAATTTTCCTACACAGATCATAACTGACAAATCTCAGAGAGAAGAGGGGGTGAATAGAAATAGATTAACCAAAGAACTTACATGCATATATGAATAACCCAGGAACATAAACAATAGTGCTGTGAAGGTGGGGGGAGGGGTGCAAGGTAGAGGTAGTCAGTGGGGGGGAGGGATGGAGACATCTGTAAAACTTTCAACAATAAAGATAACTTTTTTAATATGTTATAATTTCTACCTCTCCAAGGGTGATGGGGCGGGAGGTGAGGGAAGGGAAGGCAATAATTTTAGAAAGTAAGTTGTTATTGTGCCATGTCCCACACCAGTCTCACTAAAGACTTAACCAATATAACTTTATTTTTACTTTTTTTAATTAAGAAAGGTGTTAGTTCTGTTTGCTACCTTGAAGTTGATTTATTTAAAGTACAAAATTTTTTTGGGGGGAGGGAAACAAAAAACTTTTAAGGGAACAAAATGAATTTCAAATTATATTTCCCACTTTTGATCTGTGCCAACTTTTAATCTAAATTTTATTTGACTTCATAACTACTCATTAGTTCCTTAAACTACTTCTGGAGAATTATGGTGAGTGCCACATTTTCTCCATTTTCCATAATGCTGAGTTGCTGTATAATTCACGACTGTCAATGTGTATAGCTACAACACATGAGAGCTTATGGAACTATGCTTTATGAACTGAATCAAGGAAAAAAATAAGCCTAATTTAAGGAAGTGGAATGTCTGGTGTGACGTCGACGTCTGTATGACCGGGGGGGGGGGGGGGGGGGGGGGGGGGGGGAATTTACTTAAACACAGAGAGTACTTTGTGACAGACTCTGTTCCACACACTTTACAAATTCACACCATCCTCCCCACACCCCTACAAGGCAGGCACTATCCTTCTCCTCATTTTACCAGTGGGGAACTGAGGCACAAAGAGGTTAAACCGTGGGTAAGAGTCACACAGCTCCTAAGTGGTAGAACCGGGTTCCAATCTGGAGTCCATGCTCTTAATCGAGTGTGTGGTTTTATGTGAGAATCTGATGTGTTTACTGGCTGTTCTCCTGGTGACATTTCACCTACATTTCAGCTATGCTGGTTGTTATAATCCTGACAATACTTACACCCCGTGTTGTCAAACAGCTACTTCTCTGACACTTCCCAACCTGCCCCGGCATCATTTCCCTGACCCTACCTCAGAAACACTGGCCCCCAGGGACCTTCAGGTTAGAATTTTGAGATTGGCCGAAACCGGTTTGGCTCAGTGGTAGAGCGTTGGTCTGCGGACTGAAAGGTCCCAGGTTCGATTCCGGTCAAGGGCACGTACCTGGGTTGCGGCCACATCCCCAGTAGGGGGTGTGCAAGAGGCAGCTGGTCGATATCTCTCTCTCTCATCGACATTTCTAGCTCTCTATATCTCTCCCTTCCTCTTTGTAAAAAATCAATAAAGTATATTTTTTTTTAAAAAGAATTTTGAGATTGTTCAATATTCTTATCATCATCCTTGGACATATGCCGACTGTGTAAGCTCTGGTCCTTGGGAAAACAAAGCCATTGAGTAAAAATACTCATAATCTGGAGCCATATTATACCAGAATTGAATTACTCCAATTCAGCTTTAAGTGAGGAAACAGGCCAATCCCTTCCTCTGCCCCAGGGCTGAACCAGTAGCTCCTCCCACAATCCCCAGGGAGAGAGCCTGGAAGGTAGGCTACACCCCAAAATGCAAAAAGATCTATTTTAGAATCGATAGGGTTTTGAGCTTACAAACACGCTCATGACTTGTCCTCCTGGTGAACTCAGTTGACTCTGGAACCTACACCCAGTAACGGCGAGTTGCCAAAGTGCTGTTGATAACATAGAAAAGTAGGGTATGCAGGAATAAGCCTATACTCATTCTGCTACCTATAAATATAGAAAGGCAGAAAGGAAATATATCAAAATAGAAATATTCACTATTTTCTGAGCTGGTCATTTTGGTTAGTAGATATATATTTAATCTTTCATCTTCATAATTTCCTGTATTTTCTAAAGTTTCTACAAAGAACATGTACTAGTTGTCATACCTTTTTTTTTTTTTTTTCAGAGTCTAAATCAATGCTACTTTGGTAGATTAAATTTATTTTCAGGTATTAATAGTTCGAGTCAAATCATTGTTTCACCTATGATAGGAAATCATCTGTCAGTTAACCTCATCCCTTCCAACTGAGAATCTGTGATTCAGTGAATTACTGAATAAAATTTTTTAAACAAGTTTAAACTGACAGAGCCCATAAAATATTCATTATCCAGAATATATCAGGTCACATAAATTATTAAAATCTCTAGCTGGGTTTCAAAAGGACATGGTATATAAAATATTGAACAGGATTTCCTGAAACAACACTTCAGAAATCTGAACCTCTTGAGTTTATATTCGTAACAATGTTTAATTTTTTTTAAAACTGCAGGAGGAGAGACGCATAAGCAGAGCACAGAGAGTTTTTAGGGCAGTAAACACTCTGCGGGATACTAGAATAATGGAAATGGGTCATACATTTGTTCAAATCCACAGGAGGTATACCCAGAGTGAACCCCGATATAAACTCTGGACTTTGGGTGATTATGACGTGTCACTGCAGGTTCATTCGCTGGAACAAATATATCACTAATGGTGAGTCATAGTGATAATGGAGGAGGCTGTGCATATATAGGGCAAGGGGTATGTGGGGAACCTCTGTACCTTTCTCTCAAATTTTGCTATGACCCCAAAACTGTTCTTTAAAAAAAAAAAAAAAAAAACAGCCCAGTTTAAAGAAAACAGGCATAACTGAAAGTCTTGTGATCTGGTGAGAAGAAACGAAGCAGAGCTCCGGAGCTCAAAAGAAAAAAAAAAAAAAAATTCTCAAAATAAGTTCCAGATATAAAGAAAGAAACCACGCTTGAATCAAGCTCGTGGCGAACGTGGAGGGTGCTCATTCCAGTTTTTCTCTATCTGTGGTACGTTCTCCTGACTAAAGTTTGTGTTTTCTTGTGTGTTTTTTTTATTTATTTATTTATGTTTTAATTGATTTTAAAGAGAAGAAAAGGAGGAGAGAGAAACATGGATTGGTTGGCTCCTGCTGGGGATCAACCTGGGCATGTGCCCTAACCAGGAATCAAACCTGGGACCTTTGGGTACGTGGGACTATGCTCAACCAACTGCGCCACACTGGCCAGGTTAAGTGACCGTGTTAAGGTAAAATGCCACATACAACAAGAAACCCTATGACATAGACGGGAAACCACTGAGCTATGTGCACGTACCTCTGTAAAACTGAAGAACAGGCCAATGCCCCCGACAAATCTCAAAACCTCTCCCGCATATTTCCCGATTATCGGAGCACACGTGGAGCAGGGGTGGCCGCTTTTCATACAGCTCTGAACCAAGAAAAGAGAAGAACTTTTGTTTCAACTTTTATACAGAGCAGATAAACACTGCACCCCCAAAAACAAATTATCGCCTGGAGAATTCCATCCCGTTTGGGGCCCTGGCTCTTCAGTAGCATCCAAAAACTCAAAGACGACTCTTAAGATGCCCGTCCCAGTGGCCATGTCCTGAAGAATCGCCCTCTTGAGTGTGGATGGGATTTTTGAATACTATGGGTAGTCAGGCTCGTGTTTACGTTGCATTACATAAGTCACTGTCTTCACAGAACGGAGAGATCGCCATGCCAACGTCGATGCCACCACGTTATGAGATGGCGGCATAGTCGGACCTGAGAGGAGGGAGCCTCTGGGTGGGGAGAGGCACCCAGCAAGAAAACAAGACAGGATCTGACTCCTACCCCCAACTCCTGAGCTTGGCAGAGGATCCCCAGTCTCAGAGGAGACTGCAGCCCCAGCTGACACTGGGATTTCATCCTGGTGGGCTACCCAGCAGAGGACTCAGTGACGTCACACCCAGATTCCTGACCGAGGGAACGTAGGTAACAAGTGGGTGTTGTTTCAAGCCACTGCATTTGTGGCAACGTATAACCAGCAATAAGAAACGAATAATCCCTAAAAAAGAAACCTCATTGAGGACATATCAAGCTCGGGGCTCGGAGGGGTGGCAGTAGGAGTTTCCCCCAAAGAGGAACACAGGTGACTGTCCTAAGAGAGCCAAGCTCCAAGTCCATCCCCGTACAGGAGCAGGTTGGCACTGGGGCTGGCCTGGACAAAAGGACGGCTCTCATTGGTTCATCATTAGCTCAGCTCCCCAAAAAGAGAAAATCAGGGAGTTTTGATGGAGGAGAAGGGAGGGGAAAAAAGATAGTTCCATGTGCCTTCCCCGCTGAGGATGGTTAGTAGCTAAAAAGCCCAATTTAGCATGGACCACCTACCACCCTGATATTTTTCCAAACAAAGCTATTTAGACGCCTCTTCTGACCTTTGCTATTATTTCTCTTTCACACCCACCCCGTTCTAGGAGGAAGTGACTAAGAAGGAATTAGGGACAAAGACCTAAAAGAATATTAGGTTTAGCAGGGCCCTAGAATATTCAGTAATCACAGAAGTAGATGTTTGAGGACAGATGATACGTGGCATATAATTTAGGCACATGCAAAGCATTTTTTTTAAATACAATTCAGCATGAGAAAGTTCATTTCTTCTATGCTCATCATTATTCACATGTATGTAGTATGTCTCCAAAAAAAAAATATTTTATGCTTTGTACTTACAGCCAGGCAGGTTTCATTTGCGTTGAAACTCCGGAACCCACAGCAGTTCAAATTTCTCTGGATGTCATCACGGGCACTTGCTGTATTGTTCCAACCGACTTCCAGAAGCTGACCCTAGAACAGCCATTGAACGCACACATTAAAACATGTCATCCCCGGAAAAAAAAAAAAAAATGTATCACCCTATAGCCTGCCATTTTTAATACTGCATGTACCTAAAACAGGGGCGGGGAACCTCCAGCCTGTAGGCCGTATAAGGCCCAAGAAATCATTTGGTCTGGACCTGCCAAGGCATTAGGGGTGACTTAATTAAATGTTTGACCACATAGAGCAGGCTACTTTTTAAGTTGATAATTTTGTATGGCCCACAAATGACTCTATAAATATCTAAATGGCTTTGGGCAGAAAAAGGTACCCCACCCTTCACTTAAAATATTCTCTTGAAGATCATTAAAATTTTTCAAAGGGTTATATTTCCATCTGCATCAATAATTAAGGCACTGTTGCTATCCCAAGAATAAAAACTCTTAAATTTTACATGCAATTTAAAAGGATCGGTTGGTGGAAAGGCATAATCCTCGGAGTATAAAAAGAGAAATTTTCCATTGCCCCAAGACTGAGACCCATATGCTTCTACAAATTACTCTGAAAAAATTAATTGTTGAATGGAACCAGGAGCATTGTGGAGTAAATGTTTCATTGCATAATGGTGAGGAAAGAATGGGTGAACATCTGTTAGCATTATTGCTTTTTTTACCCAGTGGGACAAACTGCTTTTAAAAGATGCAAAAATATAGCAACAGTTCTAGGGTTCCAATCAGCTCCATTAATGCAGTGATTCTCAACTGGCAAGTCCCAAGAATTTTCAAAACATGAAATGCCTGACTATTTAGTCAGTGACAATGACCTCTTTTCCCTTAAATTGTCAAATAAAAAAATAACAAGAGCCAACACAACAATATCCATTGGGTGGAGTGAATCAAAAGTACACCTATTTTTTTGTCTGATAGGCAAAAATTATATTTTTTGGTGTGCCACAAAATTTTAGTAATTAGTTTATGTGTGCCCTGAGATGAAAAAGGTTGAAAATCAATGGACTAATGTAATCAGGAACAAAATATTTTAGCTACATCGAGTGCAATGGCATTCTGTGTAGGAAGAGATTATTTTCCAATTGCTCCTTCCCCCTTTTTTACACATACTATGTGGCAGAATAAAATAGATGGGAAAAGTCTTTGCTTACCTGTTGCTCTTCGTTCAGGGCTAAGCAAGCACACGATACAGAAAACTGAACAATAAATACCAGTAAGAGAATGATCATGTACTGAGAATAAAAGTTAAGGTTATTTCTTGACAACATAAAACAGAAGTACTGACAGCTTTAGAATGTACCAGAAGGAATCCAGCCCGAAAGCAGAACAAATGGCACTTAGAGAGAAAGTTTAAATAGAATACCTATAATGATTATTATTTTGATAATACACTGTACTTACAAATTCATATAGAAAAATATTGACAGCAATAGTAATGATTTAACTAAAAGCTGACCTATAAGAATTATACTGAGATTAAAATAAAATACTTACATAGTATATAAAATTGGAAATAGGAATAGGTAAACATATATATCACTGTAAAATTCTCAACCAAATATTCATATGTTGGAAAAAGGCTAAGAAGTAACTGAATTAGTTCAGTATAACATAACTTGCAATACATAAACAGAACTATAATGAACTTGCAAAATATATTCTTCATGATGTGCACAGCAGAGACTGGAAATGTGCAAATACACAATAATTTCACCTTAAGAAATGTTCCTAAGGTTGGCCGGGCAAATGCATATAGGGTTTGCTAGGAGTTTTTGACAATTTCCTAAATGATAGTTTTAAATAGTTATAGTGATGAAAGAATAATAGATAAAAAATAAGAACAAACCAAGTTGGGGTAAAAATCCCTTTTTAGGAAAGGATACAAAAAAGAGCAACACCTGGTGGTGTTTCACAGCTCCGATCAGCCCCACTAAGGCAATCAGGAACAAGAAGATGCCCACAGCAATGACCACGCCGACCACCCGGAGACTGGAAATCAGCCCGAAGCCAATGCCCCAGGCAGCAATTCCAATGAGCAGCAGACTAACCAACTGCAAAAGCAAACAAAAAGGGAGGAGGAGAGAGAGAACAGCATTAATTTTATATAATAATATCAAGGACATTTTTTTCAGGCACCGCTTAGTATCTTAAAAATGATTGTTAATACTCAACACTAGAATGCACACAAGATCTCAGTAGATAGCATTGTGTTAGCCAATTGCACCAACCCTCAGTTATGCTTTAAAAAAAACAAAAAACTAACAATAATCTACAAAATTAGTATGGAGCCTCAGAGGTTCTCTGGTTTATACTATGTCTAACTGATTTCTACTTAAGTTTTTGAAATAATAGCACATATAAAGCTTCTAGACTACAGTACATTTCACTCTAACATACTGATTTCTTCACATTGAAATCACGTATCTTTCTGGTTGGACTGCACCTTTCTCTGTAATTCCTTCCTACTTCCCAACAAACTAAATTAATCCTACTTTTCTCTAGGCAACCTGAGAATAAGCTCTCCTTCCTCCCCATCTTTCCACCTTTTCATTTATCTCCCCTGAACCTATCACAGAACCTGGTAACTGGGGACAATCAAAGGTTTCTCACACACAGAGCTGTTGCTGAAGTAAAGTGCTTTAGGTGCCATTATCTGTTCTACTAGAATCCATATGCACTTGATCCTTGAGCAACAGAGGTTTGAACTGTGTGGGTCCACTTACATGAAGACTCTGCACAATAAATATCTACAGTACTGTAAATGTATTCTCTTCCTTACTGTTTTCTTGTTAACATTTTCTTTTCTCTAACTTACTTTGCTGTAAGAATATATAATACATATAACATACAACATTTATGTTAATCAACTGTTTATGTTATCAGTAAGGCTTCTGGTCAACAGTAGGCCGTTAGTGGTTTAGTTCTAGGGGAGTCAAACATATATATATTTTTAACTGTTTGGGGGTCAGTGCCCCAACCCCTGCAAAATTCAAGGGTCCACTATATGGAGAGAAACTGTAGTACTTTCCAGAGGAAAGGAATACTTTATGTATTCAGAGTAAAAATGGTATTCTGAGTATAAATTATTTTATATTCCAACTAGTGGCCCAGTGCACATTACAAGGGAATTAATTAGAGGAAATATTTTACTATTGTGAGTATCCGGCGCGCGTGCTCGCTCTCTCTCGCGCTCGCGTTCGTTCTCTCTCTCTCTCTCTCTCTCTCTCTCTCTCTCTCTCTCTCTCTCTCATTACAGCGTGAGGCCATATATATATATATATATATATATATATATATATATATATAATTTTTATTTATAAAGGAGTGGACAAAAGTAGATTTATAGTTGCGTCGTGATAGTCTTCTGAACTAATAAAGCTATTATATTATAGTCTTCATAACCTGCATGTCTTTTTCCATATGAATAACTGTAAACCTACTTTTGCCCACTTTTGTATATTATAAAAACTAAACCAAGTGAAGAGAAAGAACACATGCCTCAAAAACCGGTCATTCCCTAAAAAACTCTTTAAAATAACATGTACATCAATAGCGTGCACATGAAGATTATAATTAGCTGGTGGAAAATATAGCTTAGATCTGTGGGAAACATGGGGGTGAGGGAACAGGAATGAAATAGGATCTTCAATTCAGTGAAAAGTCCACCATTTCCTGGAACAAGCTGATAGTATAAAACCCAGTTGGGAAAAATCAAAATGAATAAAAATGTAATAGTTTTAGCACCATTTCAAGGACCAATAAAAACTTTTAAAAATAAAAAAATAAATCACCATTCATCCCAATGAGTCTTTTCATACTCAAATGTGTAATTTTTTATACAAAGCGATCAGTTTATTAGACACATGTTTCAAATGACTTGGCATATATAACTTCGCACACATGTAGAGATACAAGTCAAACTCCTAAATATTGACAAACAGCACATATTTGTATCTTTATCCATTTATTACAAAGAAGCAAAACTTGAGAATGAAAGTAACTGCCCGAAGTACGACAGACAAGGTGATGTGGGTACAGGGTTTCTCCTCCAGGGCAGTTAGTTCACATTGAAAGCTTTTCTCTTTAGAAGGAGAGGGGGAGGGAAAATATTCTCACAAATTTTGCTACCCAGAAATGTGCATAGTCCCTCTCATTTTCTCAACAGCTTTTTTTTTTTTTTTTTACATATTTTATTTTTTTACAGAGAGGAAAGGAGAGGAATAGACAGTTAGAAACATCAATGAGAGAGAAACATTGATCAGTTGCCTCCTGCACACCCTCTACTGGGGATGCGCCCACAACCAAGGTACATGCCCTTGACTGGAATCGAACCTGGGACCTTTCAGTCCACAGGCTGATGCTCTATCCACTGAGCCAAACCGATCAGGGCATTCTCAACGGCTTCTTGTCAGCAGGTCCACTGGCTTCTGTCTCATTTTTATCACGTTACTCCAATCTTCTCAGCACTTCGAACAACCCTGGGTTGAGAAAAAGTGCTCTCTGCCCCATCACAAGTGAGTTTATTTCTGACTCTGTGGCATCCACATATAGCATGTTTCCTTTCACGAGGTGCAAAAGGCAGAGCCTGAAGGAGGTGTGAAGCAAGAAGGGAGAAAGGATGCAGGGACAGACCTCACCTCTGGGAGGAGAGATACCTATGTTTAGCATCTTGACTGCCTCATCGAACCAAACACCGAGGATGGTCCACACATCAAGTGCCTGGCGGTTATCAGTCAGGGTCTCCAGAGAACCAGAACCAACAGGATACTTATTCAGAGAGGGGTTTACTGTAAGAACTTGGTTCATGCAATTGTGAGGACTTGCAAGTTTGAAGTCTATAGGGCAGGGTGGCAGGTTGGAAATGCAAGTAGGATCTCTATGATACAGTCTTTAGACAGGATTCCTTCTTCCTCAGGAAACCTGAGTCTTTGTTCTTAATGCTTTCTTTTTTTTTAATATTGTGAATGAGGCCCCCAATATGGAGGATAATTTGCTTTACTTAAGATAAATTGGATGTGAATCTTAATCACATCTAAAAAAATACCATCTCGGCAACAGGTAGACTAGCGCTTACACAAACCTGAGCATCACAGGCTAGCCGAGTTGACATGTAAAAATTAACCAGCACGCATGCCAACTTCAAGTCCTAGATATGACCTCTAGGTCTTAGTTCAATTAAATGCAGGGGCAGCACTATCACTCTATCTCTCTTTATTTGAGTCTTAGAGCCAAAAAGTTCTGAAGCATGAATAATATGATACCTAAAAGTCTCCTAACCCCATAGTTCTAAAGAATCCATTGGGACTCATACCAAATCCTTTCTATCTTAATGAAGTTCTGACCACGAGTTAAATATTCGTGCACCAATGGTTGATGTCCACTGTGTCCTAAAGCCAGAGACAAGACATCTCGAGGAGAACCAAGGTCGGAAACTTTCTCTGTCAAGGGCCAGAGATTTACCATCTGGCGTTGTGGATCACCACGGTTCAGCTGTCTCAGGAAAGTAGCAATAGAAAACACCCACCTACATGAGCAGGGCAGGGTCCAAGAACACTTCATTTAAAGTCATGAAATGTAAATGCATGTAATTTTCATGTGTAACAAAAATATTCTTCCTTCGATTTTTTTCCGACCACTTAAAACTGTACAACCATTCTCCCAGCTGGCGGGCTATTCCATCACAGCCAATGGAATGGACACGGCCCGCGGGCTGTGATTTGTGGACTCTTGTTCTAGAAATCAGTGTAGGAGGAAATGAAAACTTACAAGTCCCTACAAATAATTGCGATGTCAGAGATTTTTCTTAAGATGGGTCAGAGTTCAGAGAATAATCCAAAAGCATTCAGATAACTAGAACAGGTTATAGCTAGAACGGTAAAAGAGCAGGGAGTAGGCTGGAAAATGTCCATCCACACTGTGACTATTGCCTTACAACAACAGAATAAAGAGCATCATATATGACAAAAGATGCGGCTCCATGAGGATCTTATCCTGGATTATAAGGTGGGCCCCAAATTGTTATCACAGAATCCTTCCTGCGATAAGGATATTGAGAAAGGCTATGACATTTAAGGTAAACACATAGCTGAGCACAGAGAAACTGTGAGAAACTCACACAGGCCAGAAAGGGAGAACTGAAAGTCAGAACTAGAAGCAAACTACTGGGACTGTGGGGGCCCGGGAGAGGGAGGGAAGGAGTTCCAGTCCCGTAGAGGGGAAGGATTTGAGTTTTAAACCTGGCAGCACCAGGAAGTGGAACTAAGACCCTTACCCAGGAAGGACCCCAGAAAGCTGTCATTTCCAGTGTAAGGGGCTGTAGAAAAACCACACCACTGCACCCAGGAAGAGAGTCAAGATTTTCAGTCTCTGCAAAAAATCCTTCTGCAGGAGAGAAACACCAAGCCTACCACCCATGTCTAGAGTCTTAATGTACACCCCCCCAGGCATGCAACAACCTTCAAGCCAAGCAATGTACAGAAAAGCTGATCGCAGGCTGTCATGAAATTAGGAGAGAAAAACGCACAGAAACAAATCCAAAATGACTCAGGAGGGGCGCTTCTGAATCCTAGTCCTGATACTATTCCCAAAGAAAAAAATAAAATGAAAACTTTGTTGTAGATCAAAAATCACAAAACGCAAAGAAAAAAGAATCTAACAGAGATGCAAAAGAAGAATTAGCATTCCCAAGAACTTGAGGTACTAGAACCAAATAAATAAGACTAAAATTAAACTCTCTAGAAAAGATAAAAGGAATAAAAACAACATGGGGGGGAAAAAGCAAAACTATATTTAAAAAATGCAGATCTGAAAAAAAGTCCAACAGAGCAAGTCCAATAAACACAGAAAGAAGAGAAATGTGTAAGGAAAGATAAATAAAGCTTCATTTAAAAAGGAAAAAATTGATAAGCTTTCAGCAAAATCAGTTTTTAAGAAAAAGAGAGGTAGACACATAACAGGATTTCTGCAGCCTTGTTTGTAATAGTAAATAAATTGAAAACCTCAACACCATGACAAGGGAATTCATAAACTGGTGTGATCACACAGTAGAATA